ACAAACTGGCTCCAAATTGGGAAAGGAATATGTCAAGGCTGTACATTGTGACCCTGCTTCTTTAACTTATATACAGAGTACATCATGTGAAACGCTGGGCTGGATGAAACACAAGCTAGAATCAAGATTGCCAGGAGAAATATCAATAACCTCAGATATACAGATGACAATGTTATGGCAGAAAGCAAAGAAGCACTAAAGAGCCTCTTAATGAAAGTGAAAGAGGAGAGTGAAAAAGTTGGCTTAAAACTCAACATTCAGAAAACTAAGATCATGGCATTGGGTCCCATCACTTCATGGCAGATAGATGGGGAACAATGGAAACAGTGGCTGACTTTATTTTTCTGGGCTCCAAAATCACTGCAGATGGTGACTGCAGCCATGAAATTAAAAGATGCTTGCTCCTTGGAAGAAAAGCTATGACCAACCTAGACAGAATATTACAAAGTAGAGACATTACTTTGCCAACAAAGGTCTGTCTAGTCAAAGCTATGGCTTTTCCAGTAGTCATGTATGGATGTGAGAGTTGGACTATAAAGATAGCTGAGCACCAAAGAATTGATTCTTTTGAACTGTGGTGGTGGAGAAGACTCTTGAGAGTCCCTTGAACTGCAAGGAGATCCAACCAGTCCATCCTAAAGGAAATCAGTCTTGAATATTCATTGAAGGACTGATGCTGAAGCTGAAACTCCAATATGTTGGCCACCTGATGTGAAGAACTGACTCACTGGAAAAGACCCTGATGCTGGGAAAAGATTGAAGGTGGTAGGAGAAGGGGATGACAGAGGATGAGATGGTTGGATGACATAACCGACTCAATGGATGTGAGTTTGAGCAAACTTCAAGAGTTGGTAATGGACAAGGAAGCCTGGTGTGCTGCAGTCCATGGGGTCGCAAAGAGTTGGACACAAGTGAGCAGCTGAACTGAACTGAACCACATGGATTAGATTGAAAGGGGCCAAATTAGTATAAAATTGATAAGAAGGCTTTGGACCCTGAGCTCCTATTGGTAGGAAGCAAACTGAGAAAACTTCTGAATAGAAAACATGGGCTACCTTTTATGAAAAGAAAAGATGACTTCCAGAGTGGAAACAAGAGCTCAGAGGCTGGAGTTGAAAGTTGTGGAGACTCATTTTCAGACCTGGAGTCCTAGACAAGGAACTTTCAACATAGAAAGTGACAGATATGACACTGTGTGATTTTTGAGGCTTGATTACCCAAGGCATTGCCATTCATACCTTGCATTCTTTAACAGCTCACTTTGAGAGAAGCCAGAAAGCATGCTTTCTGGACCCTCCAGACCCTGACAAACTTAGACCAGACCCTGTAGCTAAGCTACTTATGATTTGCTGATCCACAGATACTGTGATACATATTTGTGTTTGTTGTGGCTTTGAACCATTAGTTTTGGGGTAATTCATTGTGTATTGTTGATGAAGCAAATGACTGATTATGGTGGTGTCGTTGATGTAAGAGAAAGGAACCACAGGTATAAGATTGATGAGGTTTAAAAAATACTGTAATCTTGAATTCAAATGGCAATCATTGTAATGGTGTATTTTATGTTAAGGAGCAGGCAGAGCAGAAGGAGGAGAGAAGGATGAGGCGGGGGAGGGGAAAGCCAAAGCAAAGTTCCTTAAATCTGTTCACAGAAAAGACCTAGAAAATGAATACCATAAAACCCAGCTTCTATATAAAATTTCCCACTGAAAAGCAAATAAACTGGATCCCTTTAAAGAAATGACTAGCTCTAGATCTGGAACAGAAAATGTTTAAGATGAGCCTGGAACATCTCATAACAACAGAAAGTAAGGACGCAATTTTTAAAAAGCATTAGGAAAAAAAGCTAGGATCTGTTTAAGGATTTAGAAAGCAAAGTGAAGAGGCTCCCATTGGCTGAAGATGGGACTGTTGGCGCATGATTAAGAATAATAACTGCGATGGACTGAAACACATCAAATATGTTTAAATCCACGCATTCATAATGATGCTAGAAAAACTAATTAGTTCCATTTGCATGGTGCTTGGCACTTAATTCATTATTTTGATAACTGGCAAATAAAGGGAATAAATTACACATTTATCCTGCCTTCTATGAACTGTACCTCAATATAATTGGAGTCAATGAAGAGAAGTTTCTCTTTATAACTTCAGTTAACAAATGTAGAAATAGTAGTAAAGTGAGAATATTCATCTATTTGAAATTCCTAATGAAATAAGAATCTGGGCAGTGATCATCATTGGTTTCTGACATCACAGAAGGACAACCAGGTACTGGGTACCTCCTGGGAAGTCTCAGCAAAGCAGTCCTACCAAAGTAACAACATGAATCTGATCAAACTTTGAGATGTAGCTAACATTTTTTAGAGAATACTGGGGACAGGAACATGATAAATGACAAAATGGAGTATGATAAATGACAAAATGGGGAGATCCTATTAGCAAAATCCAGGTCATTGGAAACTCTACAGGAAAAATGACCAGTTTATTTAAAACAGTGCTTAGAGAAGGATGGTGGAAAGGAGAGAGAGAGAGACGTCATGTTTCAAATAGTTTTTTAAATGTGCAAAATTGCCCATTGTATATTAAATTGGGAGATCAGGATATAAAACTATAAAACAAAGCCATCTGATTTTTTAAAGAAACATACAGCATGAAAGAAAAAATGTTCAGAAAACAAAGTGTTTTGTAGCACGGTTATTGGTAATTTTGGAATATTGTTCTGTATTTTTCTAATCTGCTTTAAGACACAAATATAATTTTTCTAATCACTGTCCTTCTTGGAATAAGGACAAATAGATAAATTAGTAAAAGCACATCTATAGAGAGGGAGGGGGAAAGTGTATTAACATTTGTTTTTTTCACGCGGTGGCCCTATGCTGTCCATTGAGATTCTCTTCTGTAAGAAAGAACACTGGCACATCCCATTGGATTGTAATGTGTTGGTGGGTCCCCTCTCACCAGTAACAGGTATATATTTTACTAAGGGTCCTTTGGGAAAGACTTGAATTCAAATGAACCACCAGCCCTTCTAACTCTGAGATGGGTGTGAGAAGTAAGCCCTCATGTGACTGTTGAGGAAGGTCAGTATCTGAATTATGAAGCCTGACTTTCACCAGATGACGAACAGGAAAAGGAAACAAATTGCCTCGACACAATCCTGGTTGGGTACAGCTGGTTCAGAAGCAACAAGTTTATTCTGTAATGTTGCCAAGGTAACAGCATCTGCTTCTGACATCGCCGAGGGTGGGAGGAGGGAGCAAAGAGGAGCAATAAAGAGGCAGAATGATTTGTACATCTTTCCTAGGAAAACAGGAAAGAAGACTGTAAGATATTGACTATTTTCTGGGTGAACGTGCTTCCATAATGCTTTAAGTGTCATCAGGGAAAGGCAAATGGTGTTTTTCACATTACAGTCTGCCTTGAACCAAATAGGAGCCCCCGTGCCTCTTGTCACATTGTCATTTTCCCTTCTGTGACTCCTAACAGCGGTGGACAGGGCTTTCTTACAGCTCTGTCCCCTTGAGTGTGAAAGCACATTGATGTTTTCTTGTGACAGTTACTGCAGTGTCTGTTCACATGGATGAAAGATGCTTATTTTTTTTTTTTTACATTTTGAAAATAGTTTAATATTTGCCATTTTTGCTGCTTGTGCTATTAATATATACATTGGTTCAGTAATAAATATGCTACTATTAATACAGTGCAATATTTTTAGTATTCATAACTGGTTGAAATTAATGCTGCTATTATCTCAAGAAAGGAATAAATAAATATCATGCCCAAGATATTCATTCCCAAAGGAATAAATAAATATCATGCCCAATTCCAAACTAATGCTCAAGAGGTTATTGTTAACAAAACTGACAAAATAAACATATTGGGCATTACCTTTTTAAAATTATTCCTGTAAACATAGCAAAAAATCACTTTTCTCAGTCCTGACATTTTGTGTGATGGCTTAAAAAAAATACAACACACAAGTCCTACCACATCTTCTTTTGCATAGGGAATGAATCAATCGCATTTTAAAATGCAGCAATCATCCAGTAAAACGTCCTCAGCACACAGCACTTGTTTTCGGTTATGAACTCGGAACTTTTGAGCAATACAAGCGCTCTGCATAAGTTTATAAAATATGCTTTCTGGATTTAAAATTGAACAGAAATACTTCCAAACAAGTCATAGATACGACTCTAAAGTATTAGGTACATAACCTGACCACAGGAGGAGAGCCTCACTGCAGCACGGCACAGTGTACAAATGAGCACAGTGTTCAGGAGGATGCCCACTCGGGTCTCCTCACAGCAGTGCCGCGGCGGCTGAAGCTCACGCCACACACACAGCCCTGCCACGCTGCGTCCTGAGTAGAAGGGGGATGTGAGGGCAGACAAAGCAGATAATGGGGGAAAAAAGGCAAAAATACAGTACATATGCTTTAAAGAGTGCACTTTATAAAACAGCTTGCTTTATTCATATTTTTTTATAAAGTGCAATATTACTTAAAACAGAGACATGTACCTTAATATTTTGCAGTAACCATGAAAACAAATTGCCAGGAAAGAGCAGTGCAAAATTAAAAACATACGTAGCTTAGCATGCATCTCAGAGAGGTCCCCAATACAAAGCATGGGACCTTCTTATGCCTTTCTTTTTACTTTTTAGAAAAAGATTAATAATAGTAGGTTATCGTCATAGGTAACCATAAAATAAAAATAAGTTAAAATCCTCTCTCAAGAAAAAAGTATACACCACACATAAAATTCACGACAGAATCTTTTGGAAAACAGTTAGACCTTTTTTTTTTTTTTTTTTTTCTGATCAATCACTGTTCAAAGGATGCATATCTCTTAAAAACCCACAATGCCCACAAGGCGAAGCAACAGGTATCATCACAGTCCTAGGAACTCTTGCTGGCGGACCTCTGAGGACCTGGTGACTTACTGTCAGCAGCTCAAACCTCACCGGCCCCACTCAGACGGACAGACGTCTCTGCCCTCTCAGGACAGTCGTGCGGGCGTCATCCCGGTCACTAACGGCATGCCGTGCGCTCCACTCAGTCCCGTTCTCCGCCGGTGCTTCTGGACGAGGATAACCAACTGGGCTTTCCTGGGAAAATCCCCCACGGGGCAGATGCCAGCGGGCCCAGCGGGGTGCGCTTCTCGGAGCACAGGCCTGGCCTCCGGGCGCCGCGGCGCCCAGTCCGAGAACTGGAAGGGGCTCTCGGGCGCGCCGCCCTCGGCAGGCGGGCCAGGCTGCAGCGCCGCGGGGGGCGTGCGCTTGCCCTGCGAGTGGGAGGACGGTGAGCGCGAGCTCTCGCTGGAGCTGCTGCGCGTCTCGGTGCTGGTGCTGGTCTTCATCCTCCGCCTCTTCGCCAGCGGGGCCTTGTCCACGTTCTGCAGGCAGAACCCCTCTCTCTTGTATTTGTTGAAGGCGTGGAAGGTGGCTTTCACACACGTGTGCACCGCGGCTCCTGAAGAGCCCAGAATGTCTGGAGTCATCAGAGGATTTGACGACAGCTGACTGCCATCTTGAAGCCACTCATTGTATCTCAAGTCAGGCATTTTAAGCCTTTTGTTTGGATCGACTGTGAGGAGTCCTTGGATCAAATCTTTAGCCTCTTGGGATACATTCTTCCAGGCTTCTCCTTCAAAGGAGAAATCTCCCTTTTTAATTTTCTTCATGATTTCCACTGCACTGGTGCATGTCAGACTTTTATCATGAGACTGAAATGGAACTTGCCCTGACAACATTGTATACAAAATGACGCCCAAGCTCCAGAGGTCGCAGGACTCATCATAGCCATTGTGATTCAAGAGCTCTGGGGCAGCGTAGTGAAGAGTGAAACACGGTGTCTTCAGAGGCTGATTATCAGGTGGCTTCAAGCGTGCAAACCCAAAATCAATGACTTTAATTTCCAAATTGTCATTTTCATCAGTAAACAATAAATTCTCGGGTTTCAGATCTCTGTGTACCACTCCGACGTCATGCATGTGGCTAACAGCTGAAACCAGCTTCCGCATGATGTAGCTGGCTTCCGTCTCACTAAAATGCTTCTTTCTCTTAATGCGTTCAAACAGCTCTCCCCCATTCAGAAGTTCCATCACTAGAAATGTGTGAAGCTGATCATGAAAAACTTCATGTAATTTCACAATATTGGGGTGTCCTTCACAGAGTCTCAGAGCTGTCACCTCTTTCTGAGTGCTGGCTTCCATCCTTTTGCTGATTATTTTGACTGCGAATGCTTGGTTACTTTTTTTGTGAATGCACTTTCGGCAGATTGAAAAGCTTCCTTCTCCCAGTAGTGTGTCCTTCAGATCTAGGTCATAGTGTTGATAGAATGGAGATTCCTTCAGCATCGCGCTCCTTGCAATGTGCCATCTCCCCGGGGCGGTCAACTCCCATGTGAAACTGAAGAGGATCCATGACGGCTGCATTACGCTTGAAGAGGATGGAAGGGGCAACAAAGGAATAGCCCTGGAACAGCCTCTCGGAGCTCTGGGGCAGAGTTGCGGGAGAGTACGTGGGGTCCATTTCTGTGAATTCTTCTGCAAAGTTACTCACATCTAATTCATCTCGGATGACTGGCTTAAAGGGTGCGGGCACTTTTTTGGCAGCTAAATCATCCCAGTTTATTTTCTGAAAGAAGGGATGTTCTTTGATTTCATCTGCGTCGCGTGGGCCGCAGCCCAGTCTCTTCTTGGGATCTTTCATCAGGAGACGCTGGATCAGGTTTCGCTACAGCACTCATTTCCTGGGGATATGGAGGCTCGCTCTTTAATATTCTCCTAGATATCTCAGCTTGGGAGTTCTTCTCACCATCAACAGTGAACGGAGATGCTCCCGTTAGTAATTCATACATTAGAACACCTAAACTCCACCAGTCAACTGCCTTGTCATGTCCTGAGTCTCCCCCTCTGACAATATCTGGTGCCATGTATTCAATGGTTCCACAAAAGGAATATGCTCTTTCAGCCTAGGATGAGGTGGAGCTTGGCCTCTGTCTGGAAGGCGTAGTGCAGCGTCACCAGGAAGGGCGACTGCCGCACCTGCTCCAGGACCTGCCGCTCCGCCCGCGCGTGCTCCGTGCTCTTGGCCTTCTGGACGAGGGCGGCCTTCTTCAGGACCTTCATGGCGTACAGCTTTCCAGCATCGTGGCCACTCACTTTACGCACGAGAAACACCTTTCCGTAAGCTCCAGTTCCTAAGACCTTTAAGAGCTCAAAATTTTCAATCCCCACCTTCTCTGCATGTCCGGTTAAATTAGCCGTCCGCAGCTCGTGCTTGACGACGCGGAGCTGCTCTCCGCCGGCGTCCCCGCCGCTGCTACCCTTCTCCTCCATCTTCCCCTCGCCCGAGCCCGCGGGCTGCTCCAGGGCGCCCGGCCCCTCAGCTCCGCCGCGGCCGCTGGAGCCGGGGCGCGGCCACTCGGCAGCCCGGACGCCGGGCGAGCCGCTTTCCCGCTCCCGCCGCCTCCCTCGGCGGGCGCCGCTAGTACCGCGCAGCCACTCCGCCCCGCTCCCCGCCTCCCCCCTGAAAGACGCTTATTATGTTTCGACTGTGTCTGGATTTGCACGGGAAGAAGACAGGAAAGGAATGGCCTTGGTTCGCCTCCTCCTCTTCTCCTCCCCTTGGCTGCTGCCTCCAGATCTTTCTACCTGTAAAGGAGGAGGATGAAGCAAGAAGAACGTGGCAGTGAGGAGGGAAAGAGAGCAGCAGGTCTGGGAAGTATGCTAGAGATATTTTTAGCTGAGGGCAAAACAGACAGCAGGCTACCTGGCCACGAGGCAGCCCGCATGGGGACACCGCGAGCCTGGGAAGAGCTGAGTCAGGGGCAAGGTAAGGGCGGCTGGAGCCCAGCTCCGCATCAATTGGCCTTAGAGGGAGATCGGAGCTGGAGACGAAGACAGAGCTCCAGAGATGATCAGTTGCATATGTTGAGCATCAAAATTGTTCTCAAACTGGAGAAACACTGAGCTTGGTTGCCCGGGCTCAGGGAAAGATGCTCTTTCCTGCCTGAACCTCATTCCATGTGTTTAGAACCTGAAGCAAACAGTCTCTGGGTAGTTCTCACCGGCTCAGAAACAAAGAGAATTTAGACCCCTGCCTGTGCCCAGTTGGGACTGATTTTTTTTTTTTCCAAATGCCAACTGCTTTTACAACATGGCAGAATGTTCCAGAGGTCAAAAGCCTGAACTTGAGAGTCAGGCAAATCAGGGGAACCTGAATCTGACCCTCCAGGCCTGCCGCTTTCAGCTGTTTATACATTACTCATTATGCATTATTTCATTGGAGTCACATTTACAAGGTTGGAGGCAGGTAACCCAGCCTCCCCAGGCCTTAGCTTCCTCTCTTTTGGTGGGCTGCCAGGGCCAACTTCCTAGTGGTAGGCTGCGAATTTGGGGGCACAGCACTTGGGACTTTCCTGTTATCATCATTCTCATTTGTCTTTGAACATATCTTTGAAAAGTGGGAAGGAATGGAGTTCACTTGTGTTTGCTTCTTGGATTTGAAAGTGACACTAGATTAGGTAGAAACCCTGATCAGAAAGTTCTGTCCCGGGACTTCCCTGATGGTCAAGTGGTTAGGAATCTGCCTTCCAATGCAGGGGACGTGAGTTGGATCCCTAGTGGGGAACTAAGATCCCATGTGCTGTGGGGCAACTATGCCTGCACAATGCAGCTAGAGAGAAGCCTGTGCCACAGTTGAGAACTGATGAAACACGAAAGTGAAAGTTGCTCAGTCGTGTCTGACTCTTTGCAACCCCATGGACTATACAATCTATGGAATTCTCCAGGCCAGAATACTGGATTGGGTATCCGTTCCCTTCTCCAGGGGATCTTCCCTACCCAGGAATTGAACCAGGGTCTCCTGCATTGCGGGTGGATTCTTTACCAGCTGAGCTACCAGGGAAGCCCTGATGCAGCCAAATAAATAAATATTTTGAAAAAGGAAAAAAAGAAAGTTCTGTGACAAGTTGGCAATGGACTTGTATTAAAGTTCTCTAGAGAAACAGAATCAGCAGGAGATTTTATATATATATATATATATATATATATATATATATACACACACAATGTAATATTATATATTACATAATATATTATGTATTATTATATGTTACATATTATACATATAATATGTAATATATATATAACTTATCTGTCTCATATATAGCTATAGTTAGATAATATATATCTATAATCTCTATATATTATATATATATAGAGAGAGAGAGAGCGAGGGGCCGGGGGTGGAATTTATTTTAAAGAATTGGCTCATACATCATGGATGCAGGCAAGTTCAAAATCTTCAGGCAGGCCAGCAGACTAGAACCCAGGGAAGAGCCGATGCTGCAGTTTTAAGTACACAGGCAGAATTTCCTCTTCGTTAAGGAGATCAGCTTTTTCTAGTAAGGCCTTCACCTAAATGGATGAAGCCTGCCCACATTACAGAGGGTAATTTGCTTTACTCAAAGTCTGCTGATTTAAATGTTAAACTCAACAAAAAATGCTTTCACAGAATTATCTCGAGCTGTGTTTGACACACATCTGAGTACCATGACCTAGACAAGTTGACAGACAAAACTGACCGTGGCAGGCCCCGTTTGCCCTGTGCAAACATGGGCGCCTCCTCTCAAGCCAGTAACCACAACCCCAAAGAGTCACTCACACGGTAAGTACGTTCCATTAAGGTAGCTAATCTCATGGCATCTGCAGAAGAGCTGGGACCAGCTATTTTATTTTTTCTGTATTTGTGCTGCACCCTTCTTTAGGAGAAAAAAAAAAAAAATCAAAGCACAGCAAAAGTTGATAGCAGGAATTATGTCAAAAAGGCAATTTTCACCACAGGTCCTGGGGTTAATATGTATTTATTCCAAAGATCTTAAACATTAAGGGAAAGAGGGAAATATTTAAAGGGAGCTCTAGACTGGGGACCAGAGATTCAACACTCTACCCTACCATTTAGGCAAATGTCCTAATTCACAGTGAGGTGGATAATTACACCTGCACCAAATCAGGGAGCAGAGACGACTTACCACAATCATCTACACCAAAGTGCACAGGTATCAATTATACTTGAGTCTGGAAAGGGTTGAAAGCTGAAAGCTTGCTGTACGAACAGAAAGTGTTGCTGCTTTTAACACTGAAAGTAAGGGAAGAGGGGACCAAGACACACATCTCTGAGGCTGACACCTCACTCTTTTCTTTCCAGTAAAATCCCACTATGTCCTGACAGCGATCTCAGCTGTTCCCCACCTTGTGGCTGCTGTCCACATCTCTCTTTGTTTGGTGCACACGAATGGTACAGAGCTCTTTCTGTAAGCTGCTGTCAGGAAGGGCGCATGTCCTAGTGGGGAGTTCAAGGGCTAAGGTTTTAAACAGGATGTTAGAGGTGCCTCTCATGCATTGATGGAGAAGGCAATGGCCACCCACTCCAGTACTCTTGCATGGAGAATCCCATGGACGGAGGAGCCTGGTGGGCTACAGTCCATGGGGTCAGGAAGAGTCAGACATGACTGAGCAACTTCACTTTCACTTTTCATTTTCATGCATTGGAGAAGGAAATGGCATCCCACTCCAGTGTTCTTGCCTGGAGAATCCCAGGGACGGAGTAGCCTGGTGGGCTGCCGTCTATGGGGTCACACAGAGTCGGACATGACTGAAGCGACTTAGTAGCAGCAGCAGCTCATGCACTGAGGGGAAGACTCTTTTAGACACTGTTGCTAAAAGTGTAAATTGGTACAAATCCTGGAGTACAGTTTGGAAATTTCTAGTAAGTGCCTCAAAAATGTATATGTACCTAGTAATTCCATTCTAAGGACTTGATCCTTAAGAATGTAACAGATGAGTATGCAAATATACATACAGGGACACTCATTAGTATCATACTCATTACTTTTAAAAGTGAAATACTGCAAGCAACCTAAATGTCCAGTGATATCCATGGGTTCCATGGCACTAGTGGTAAAGAATCCACTTGCCAATTCAGGATGCACAAGAGATGTGGATTCAATCGCTGAGTTGGGAAGATCCCCTAGAATAGGAAATGGCACCCCACTTCAGTATTCTTGCTTAGAAAATTCTATGGACAGAGGAGCCTGGTGGGCTATGGTTCAGGGGATCACAAAGAATTGGACACAACTGAGTGACTGAACACCACCATCCAGGACTGCGTAAATGCCTTACTATCCATTTTGAGAATAGAATATTATTTAACCATTAAAAAAAAAATAAAATGATGATGGGCGTGTGTATATGAAAATATTCATGAAACATTAAGGGGGAACATAAGTCATAAAATATTAAATCTATATTTAATTCCATTAAAAATCAGTACACAGATATATGAAAAAGTTTTGATCATGTCTTTGTTCATTTGGGCTGCTATAACAAAATACCATAGACAAGGGGGCTTATAGCAACAGAATTTTTTTCCCTCATAGTTCTGGAGGCTGGAAAGTCCAAGTTAAAGGCATGGGCATGTTCAGTGTCTGCTAAGGACCCACTTCATGATTTGTAGATGGCAGTCTTTTACATATTGTCTCCTTACATGATGGAAGGGAGGAGAGAGCTCTGTGGGGTCTCTTATAATGACACTAAAACCATTCATGAGGGCTCCACCCTCATGACCTAATCACTTCCCAAAGTTTCCTGCCTCCTAATCCTATGACATTGGAGGTTAGCATTTCAACATATTTTGGGGGAGACATAGACATTCAATCTATAGCAATGGATATATAGCAAAATATTTACTGTCATTTTCTGAGTAACATAATGTTAAATTAATAGAATTCAACCAATTCAACCAATAGAATTGTTGATTAACTCTTTTTAATATCTGTATTTTCTATATTGAGTGTATCAGTTCAGTTCAGTCACTCAGTCATGTCTGACTCTTTGTGACCCCATGGACTGCAGCACGCCAGGCTTCCCTGTCTGTCACCAACTCCTGGAGCTTGCTCAAACTCATGTCCATCGAGTCAGTGATGCCATCCAACCATCTCATCCTCTGTCGTTCCCTTCTTCTGCTACCTTCAGTCTTTCCCAACATCAGGGTCTTTTCCAGTGAGTCAGTTCTTTGCATCAGGTGGCCAAAGTATTGGAGCTTCAACCTCAGCACCAGCCCTTCAAATGAATATCCACAGTTGATTTCCTTTAGGATAGACTGGTTTGGTCTCCTTGCAGTCCAAGGGATCCTCAAGAGTCTTCTCCAACACCACACTTCAAAAGCATCAATTCTTCTGACTCAGCTTTTTTTATGGTCCAACTCTTACATCCATACATGACTACTGGCAAAACCATAGCTTTGACTAGATAGACCTTTGTTGGCAAAAAAATGT